ATGCAGGTACTACATCTGGCATTCTCTGCAACTAGCTCTAGAAGGCGGTCGTGATTCAGCTCAGTTGTTCTCCAAAGTCGCGATTTTTCAGTCAAGTCAAGGTGTCCATTTTCGAACTTGTAGTACCGTCTCCTTATCGTGATCTAAGAGACAGTGGAGGGGCCAATCGCCTCACATATGCTACTTGTCGCACGATTTGGATCTACGTCTTTTCATAACTAGTAAAGGAGAAGCAGTCTGATAGGCTTTGACTCGAGAGCGATTCTTCCAGCTGTAATTGTTGTGAAATGATACGGCAGATATGGTGTTAGGAATGCATTGACCCGCACTTACATATGTTTCACAGTGAACGTTTAGAAGCAACCCCCAAAGATTTCACAACATAGAATAACATGCGCAAAGACTTTTCCGACAACCTAACCGTTCCAATAACTACCGTACAAAAGGCTTTCAAAAGAAAATTGCAAGACCTCTCATCTTTGAACCTCGGCGTGTCTATTGATCTTGAAATCGTTAGTTTTTGCTTTTGCCTCGAGGTTTGTAGGTGGAAATATTTATTCTGGCCGACGTTTCGACGGACTCGTCGTTTTCAAAGACCTGAAAGTGGTTCAAAGCTTCTTGCTTGCACGCTACCCCACCAAGTGCCTCTTCCGCTCTAGCGTTTCTGACCTCATATCAGGAATACACGAAAAATGATCGAAATTCAAAAGATAAGCTCACCTCACTCCCACCGCGAAGTGTAGCCACGCTACACGGTCAGTACATCAGTAGCGAATGATCTTAGTCTGCTGTCCTTATGCAATAACATTATTGCGGATGAGCACGTTCGCGGATTATGGAACAAACTCGCGGTGTTGCATAAATGACAAGAGATTATTTGTGATGGTCANGAAAGATATTGGGAGTTCCACATCACTAACGATGCTTATTGCAAGAAAACGTTCTTATGCAACTAATTAGTAACAGGTAATGTGAATTTGATAAATTATCTCTACCTTAGAAATTTCTGAATTTTGGCGCAAATAATTTTGGGACACCCTGTACTTAGGAAGTGACAGTGGATTTCGATGAAACAACTCCCAGTAAGCGATCCCTTTCAAATACCACCAAACGCTGTGCTTTTCAGGATAGAGTTTCGTTTTAAGGGTCGGAATTTTATTCTTTCCGCGTACAAGCCACTGGCGCTTCCTCATGAGGTTAACTACGTAGAAACCCCCCTGCTTCCAAGGTGCTTCGAAAAGCGAACAAGTTCTGGCACACATATCTTCTCATGTGGAGCTGGTAGGTCGTATCTTCACGGCTTTCCGAGGCGATGCAAAACGGCAGTTTTTGTGTCGTGATGGCTATTAGGCTCCTGCGTCAGCATGCAGGTACTATATATGGAATTCTCTGCAACTAGCTCTAGAAGGCGGTCGTGATTCAGCTCAGTTGTTCTCCAAAGTCGCGATTTTTCAGTCAAGTCAAGGTGTCCATTTTCGAACTTGTAGTACGGACTCCTTATCGTGATGTATGAGAGAGTGGAGGGACCAATCGCCTCACATATGCTACTTGTCGCACGATTTGGATTTACGTCTTTTCATAACTAATAAAGGAGAAGCAGTCTGATAGGCTTTGACTCGAGAGCGGGTCTTCCAGCCGTAATTGCGGTGAAATGATACGGCAGATATGGTGCTAGAAATGCATCGACTCGCACTTACATATGTTTCACAGTGAGCGTTCAAAAGCAACCCCCAAAGATTTCACAACATGGAATAACATGCGCAAAGACTTTTCCGACAACCTAATCGTTCCAATAACTACCGTACAAAAGGCTTTCAAAAGAAAATTCCAAGTCCTCTCATCTTTGAACCCCGGCATGTCTGTTGTTCTTGGAATCGTTAGTTTTTGCTTCTGCCTCGAGGTTTGTAGGTGGAAATATTTATTCTG